TGAGAATTGTTTTTTCAGATGGGTTTCTTGCAAAAATATAATATCAGACGAAAGTGCTTTCAAGTGGGCTAGGACCTTGCCTCTCTTAATTGGTTCGTTTAAACCCTTGACATTCCAGGAAGTGAATGTAAGCCCCACCCTCCTCTCATTTGTAGTTCCTATGGTGGCCTGCATAACATGTAACTCACTAAAAAGGTAAGAAAGCGCACCAAACCATCATGATCAGCATATGTAGCACCTACACCCGAGCAGTATCCAACCCACCCCTCCCCCCCCCGCAAGCACCTTTACCCTGTTCCCCTACTTTCCCCAACCTTTACCCCCCCCCCCCCCCCCCCCCCATCAACCCACATTTAACAGGCATACACAAATGGGACAAAAAAAAAATGAAAATAAAAATAAACACATTGTCTGGCCGATGCCAAAAAAGCACGGCGCGACCTCGAACAAGAGGTAAAACAAAAAGAAAATCCCAACTATACGTTCACCTCTCACTATCCTAAAACTTCTACTAACATATGAACTGAGGAGGCTCCCGCGCTTAAAGTGTTCAATTAGCATCTAATAAACCTAAACAGAATAAGTTGCAACTTAAACATATTGCGCACTTAAGGTTCATCTTGGGTCAATCCCTGAGATAAGCAAGATGTATCATCACAAGATTCTATTGCTAAGCAATGCCGGTCTAAACATAAACCATCAGTAACCGACATAGACAGCAGTACAGTTACATATTGTGGGTTAGGAGATGGGAACAAGGATTTTGATAAATTGAACGTACCCCCCAATCAAAAATAAATAAAAATAAAATAAAAAGTAAAGTAAAAATAAAATAAATAATAATATAATATACGCACACACACACCTACAGTATACACACACGTGCACCCACACACATACACACATATATACATACACACACACATACACACACACACACACACATACATACACATACAAACACATGTATACATACACATACAAAAAAATATAGATATAAAATAAATATTCTTAAATATATACAGATACATACACACACATACACCCATACACACACATCTACATACACAAACATTCATACCCCAGAATAATAATCTATACTAATTTAAAATATACACATAATACTAAAATGCTAAGAGAAAATAATAATAAAGTACAAATAATTATTATTATATATACGCACACCTACACAGACACAAGCACCACGGAGGGCTGGTGGGAATCAGATCGTGAGAGTGGGCCAGGCTATGACAAAGGCAGAACAGCACAAAGCATCAACTTGCTATCCAGGTGTCTGCGTCTGCCCTTTCCCAACCATCAACCCCCAGATCCCTGCAAGCAATAAATACATGGTATGGTAATAGGAATAATGTAAGAATTGAAAAATAAATAACGAAACAAAACAAAAAATGGGGGAATGTAAGTATATCCATCCGAAAGTGTCAATGATCCATGGTCCTCTGTAGCTCAACTGGTAGAGCACGGCGCTTGTAATGCCAAGGTAGTGGGTTCGATCCCCGGGACCACCCATACACAAAAATTTATGCACGCATGACTGTAAGTCGCTTTGGAAAAAAGCGTCTGCTAAATGGCATATTATATATTATATTATTATTATTATTATTATTATCCGACTTGGATGGCCTCCCAAACAGTCATTGCTCAAAACCCAGTCGGAATGAAAGTGAAATTAACGTTAAATGAGAGCTCTGACCGCCCTCCATTGGTCAGCTCGGCGTATTACATGTTCGGTAGCCCTTGCTGAGACCGTTTAATACGGTTTCACCCGTTATGGTATAGTATGGATTCGGGTCCATGAGCAGACCCTAACACACAATGACAAGGCACTCTAACCTGTACGGGGGATTGGCGTCTATTCCCGGATAAACTTCTCTGTGTCCAAAACCGAGGAGAGCCAAATATTTTCCCCAGAAGGCGGGGTAATTCTTAGTCTTGCAGGGAAGAGCAAGGCTGGGCGAAGATGGAGTTTGTAGAGTTTGGTCATGACATCTCTGTAGCCAGCGCGGTGCTTTGCCACATCGGGCGCATAATCCTCATAGACACGAAAGGGGTGCCCTTTATGTAACAGGTTGCCCCTCATTCGAGCCTCGCGCAGGATAAGATCCTTGGTCTTGAAACTGTGACAACAGATGATCACTGGGCGAGGACGCTGGCCCGGTCCAGGCACTGGGACAAGGGCACCATGTGCACGGTCCAGTAGGGGATCCGAAGCCAAAACATCCGGTCCCATTGCTTCCTTCAGTAGCTTGGCGAAGAAGTCGGTGGGGCGAGAGCCCGCCTCCACCCCTTCTGCCAGACCCACAACGCGAAGGTTATGACGCCTGGATCTGCCCTCCAGGTCGACCACTCTCATAGAAAGCCTCTGTACACTATCCTGCAATGAGGTGCATAGCTTCTCTAACTCGTCGATCCTACCAGCGTTGAATTCAGAAGCTTTCTCAAGGTCCACAATACTCTGGCCCTGCGAAGTGACCGTTCGAACGGTGCTCTCTATTTTAGTGTCCAGTTCAGCAATAGTAGCCTTAAGATCCTCCGCTATAGCAACACGTAGTTCTCCCAAAGCCCGGGTAAGTTCTGTAAGTGTCACGTTGTTACCTGTGCCTTCCGCCATGTCTGTCTCGTTGTTTGGTGGCGAGTAGGCCTCCGATGTGGATTTATTGTCCTTTGGTCGCTTATTACTCGGCATTTTCACATAGAAAGTTACAATATTGTATTAGAAAGAAACGTTTGTTGTAACTAGTGCCATAAAGTAATTTAGGTTAGATTTTTTCGCAAAAAAGTTGCAGGAGCCTCTCACACACAGCCGTTCACTCCAACATGCTAGCTCCGCCCCTCGAGATCCTGTATTCTGAGTGACAGGAGGACGCTTTTCCCATGGTTCATTTTCATGCCAGCCAGGTAGGCTATACTCCTGTTGTAAAGATAAGCAATGTGCTTAACATCGTCGAGATACATCGAGTTTCCTTGTAGGCCTATTTGGTGGGGAAACTGTGAAGCTAGCTGGAGCCTATTTACTGTTTTTGTGTGAAAGCAATGTTGTGTATTTGCTGCTTTTCATTAAATCATGTAGATGTTCTTTAGGCTACGGCCTAAAATAAATGTTTTCATATGGGCAGAATATTATATTTTGTAGCATAGGCTACCGAATGTATGAAAATAAACAGTTCATGCGTAAAAAATTTCGTCTCTGGTAAAAGGCCGACATTTGGTCGTTTCAATTTAAAAAAGACTGTCACTTGACAATAGAAATGGAAACATTGTGACATTGTTTTTTTTTCAATCAAGACCTAGACAACCAGGTGAGGGGTGTTCCTTACTAATTAGTGACCTTAATTCATCAATCAAGTACAAGGGTGGGAGCGAAAACCCGCAGACACTCGGCCCTCCGTGGAATGAGTTTGACACATGATATAGACTAGTGATTTTGCTGTTCGCTACTCGTCATGTTGGCTGAGGAAAACTACATGGGGACAGTTATTCTTCAAATGCGCATTGGAATTCAGTAAGAAGGATGCACGCCGTTGTATCCCCGATGTGCATGTTCCGTTGAGATGAATTACCATCATCTAAATGTGATTTCTGTCAATCTGAGCACCGTGGGTGGACGCCCTAATACGGTTATGCACCCAATGCATATGGGTCCTGTACATTTCTCAACTGTCCGGTAAATTAAAATGCTGCTGGTCCGACGCCATATTTTATATATATATAACGGAAACCCTGCAATAATGGTAGTTGGATCGTTTGTCCAGATTTGCAATAAATTAACTAGAAATCATACCACACATAAAATCATTCAACAATGCACCAATTTTCTATATAAATCCACAAGATGGAAGAATACAGTAGCTGAAAGGCAGTGGGGAAGCCAGCTGTGTCATTGCACATGAAAGAACAGTGAAAACACACAGCCCAAAAAGCTCCCCTATTGATCTTGTTTAGGGACAATACAATTATCCTACATACTGTAGACTAGCCTATAACACCACAATCCAATGAATAATTGCATTATTGTTTTCAAGTGAGTACAATTTAGTACAATTCTACTCTAGGCTGTAAACTGCAGTGAAAATGCCATTTGAATAATGGCTTAAAAACCCTGTTATTTGAACGTTTCATTCCATTCATTCCATTTGGATCAGTTGTGGGTCTACTCGACAGATTATAGAAAGGCACAGTAGCATGACAGTCTGGCTGTATTTTTACTTCTGATACTTATGCTCTGTCTGTTGCCCATCGCACATTCTCCCAAGTCGTCCTATGTAGTGTGGCCACATAGGCCTATGTTCCTAAATATTTGTAATTTAACTTTTTAAATGTATTACCTTTTATTGTGTGGCATAAACACAACTAGTCACAATGTTTTATTCTGACTATGCATGTTCATCCACTCCAATATAATTCCAGCATCCAAACTGCGCAACGGCCATTCGATTAATGGAAATAGACATCTGTTACAAAACACTAAAACGTTTCATGACATTAGGAGATTGTTAAACCAAGCCTTCAATGCTGAGTAGGGAGGGATGTATTTTCGGTTTGTCAAGATCGATGTACTTGATTGTTTGTGTTGAAAACGCAAACTATGATGATAAGCTCTCAAAGTTGAAAATCAGTATGCAGTTATGCGTTGCTTATTGGTTGAGTGATGTGCATTTGCACAGGAACCGGTTGGTGGAAAATTTGTTGCATATAATTTATATAATTGTAAATATAGCATAAAAATTTTGAAAATCTGATTTCCTTCTAGCTGATCATTGTCTGCAGCTGGCTCTGATCAGGGAGAGTGAGCTTGTCCGTGGTGGTCGGCGAGTGTGACTGTCCTGGACTGGTATTATATTTAAGGGAAATGGCTGGTTTGAGTCACGGGCCTGGTATGAACATGGAAATAAATTACCTATGATGCATGTACCAGGCTGGTGTGTGAGAGACTTGGTGTGTGTGTAATTGCATATTTGTGTTCCTCCACGTAAGTGTGTATGTTGACATGGGTTCGTGGAAAAAGTAAGGACAGCACCAAGGCCTGTGGAGGGACCATGCACTCATGCGTGTCAGTTTACAGAAGTTAAAACACTTTCCCAAAGAGCTGTCTGATTGCCCACCACGTGTTCTTGGCATTCTTTGGGCTCTGTAATGTACACCTCCACACCCCTGGTCCCCATTACCCCAGGGATACATTCAAACAACGCACCCGTAGTCCTCACACACACACACACACACACACACACACACACACACACACACACACACACACACACACACACCCCACCCCTAGTCTTCACTTTCCCTGGGACAACCACCACACCCCTAATACCCAGCCCCTCTGACTCTCCCTTGGGTATTAATAACCCCCACGGCCCACCACTGAAGGGGGTCACAGCCACACAAAGTATGTAGCTGACAAGATTCAGTTACATAAGACCAAGTAAAGAACGTGAGCAGTGGAAAAGATGAGTGGAAGGGTCTGGACCCATTGGCCCGGACAAAGATTAATTAAACAAATAAAAAATGCACTCATTTCAACTTTTGATATGAAATGTCAGACAAATTACAGATAGTCCATCTGGAGTCTCTGTGGTCCATCAATGTATGACCCCCTGATAGAAAAGCAAAAGGTTCAATCCTTTTTTGACAAAATACAAAAAGTCTGTCTGAAGTAATGTGGTTTAAGGATGGCACTAGGGTTGAATATTTTCCCTGTATTTTACAAATGTTCCATCCCGAGAATAAATCACTTCTCTCTCCGGTAACCCGGTATTTCCCTTCAAAACCTGAAGTGTCATTCAAAATCATTATAAAGAATATAAATATGTCTGGATTTGATTAGAGCTTTGATCAGCATGAAAATCAAAACCTGATGCTGCCTGAGCCTGATAAGCCATACAGTGGGGAAAAAAAGTATTTAGTCAGCCATCAATTGTGCAAGTTCTCCCACTTAAAAAGATGAGAGAGGCCTATAATTTTCATCATAGGTACACGTCAACTATGACAGACAAAATGAGAAAATTTTTTTCCAGAAAATCACATTGTAGGATTTTTAATGAATTTATTTGCAAATGATGGTGGAAAATAAGTATTTGGTCAATAACAAAAATTTCTCAATACTTTGTTATATACCCATTGTTGGCAATGACACAGGTCAAACGTTTTCTATAAGTCTTCACAAGGTTTTCACACACTGTTGCTGGTATTTTGGCCCATTCCTCCATGCAGATCTCCTCTAGAGCAGTGATGTTTTGGGGCTGTCGCTGGGCAACACGGACTTTCAACTCCCTCCAAAGATTTTCTATGGGGTTGAGATCTGGAGACTGGCTAGTTCACTCCAGGACCTTGAAATGCTTCTTACGAAGCCACTCCTTCGTTGCCCGGGCGGTGTGTTTGGGATCATTGTCATGCTGAAAGACCCAGCCACGTTTAATCTTCAATGCCCTTGCTGATGGAAGGAGGTTTTCACTCAAAATCTCACGATACATGGCCCCATTCATTCTTTCCTTTACACGGATCAGTCGTCCTGGTCCCTTTGCAGAAAAACAGCCCCAAAGCATGATGTTTCCACCCCCATGCTTCACAGTAGGTATGGTGTTCTTTGGATGCAACTCAGCATTCTTTGTCCTCCAAACATGACGAGTTGAGTTTTTACCAAAAAGTTATATTTTGGTTTCATCTGACCATATGACATTATCCCAATCCTCTTCTGGATCATCCAAATGCACTCTAGCAAACTTCAGACGGGCCTGGACATGTACTGCCTTAAGCAGGGGGACACGTCTAGCACTGCAGGATTTGAGTCCCTGGCGGCGTAGTGTGTTACTGATGGCAGGCTTTGTTACTTTGTCCCAGCTCTCTGCAGGTCATTCACTAGGTCCCCCCGTGTGGTTCTGGGATTTTTGCTCACCGTTCTTATGATCATTTTGACCCCACGGGGTGAGATCTTGCGTGGAGCCCCAGATCGAGGGAGATTATCAGTGGTCTTGTATGTCTTCCATTTCCTAATAATTGCTCCCACAGTTAATTTCTTCAAACCAAGCTGCTTACCTATTGCAGATTCATTCTTCCCAGCCTGGTGCAGGTCTACAATTTTGTTTCTGGTGTCCTTTGACAGCTCTTTGGTCTTGGCCATAGTGGAGTTTGGAGTGTGACTGTTTGAGGTTGTGGACAGGTGTCTTTTATACTGATAACAACTTCAAACAGGGGCCATTAATACAGGTAACGAGTGGAGGACAGAGGAGCCTCTTAAAGAAGAAGTTACAGGTCTGTGAGAGCCAGAAATCTTGCTTGTTTGTAGGTGACCAAATACTTATTTTCCACCATAATTTGCAAATAAATTCATTAAAAATCCTACAATATGATTTTCTGGAAAAGAAATCTCAATTTGTCTGTCATAGTTGACGTGTACCTATGATGAAAATTACAGGCCTCTCTCATCTTTTTAAGTGGGAGAACTTGCACAATTGGTGGCTGACTAAATACTTTTTTTCCCCACTGTATATTGAATACATTTTATGAGCCCTACGACATTTAATGAGCCCAAGCCCAAAAAAAGCCCAAATGATTGTGCCATTATCCAATACATACAGTTGAAGTCGGAAGTTTACATAAACATTAGCCAAATACATTTAAACTCAGTTTTTCACAATTCCTGACATTTAATCCTAGTAAAGATTCCCTGTCTTAGGTCAGTTAGGATCACCACTCTATTTTAAGAATGTGAAATGTCTGAATAATAGTAGAGAGAACTATTTATTTCAGCTTTTATTTATTTCATCACATTCCCAGTGGGTCAGAAGTTTACATACACTCAATTAGTATTTGGTAGCTTTGCCTTTAAATTGTTTAACTTAGGTCAAACATTTTGGGTAGCCTTCCACAAACTTCCCACAATAAAGTTGGGTGAATTTTGGGCCATTCCTCCTGACAGAGCTGGTGTAACTGAGTCAGGTTTGTAGGCCTCCTTGCTCGCACACGCTTTTTCAGTTCTGCCCACAAATGTTCTATAAGATTGAGGTCAGGGCTTTATGATGGCCACTCCAATACCTTGACTTTGTTGTCTTTAAGCCATTTTGCCACAACTTTGGAAGTATGCTTGGGGTCATTGTCCATTTGGAAGAGCCATTTGCGACCAAGCTTTAACTTCCTGACTGATGTCTTGAGATGTTGCTTAAATATATCCACATAATTTTCCTTCCACATGATGCCATCTATTTTGTGAAGTGCACCAATCCCTCCTGCAGCAATGCACCCCCACAGCATGATGCTGCCACCCCCGTGCTTCACGGTTGGGATGGTGTTCTTCGGCTTGCAAGCAGCCCCCTTTTTCCTCCAAACATAACGATGGTCATTACGGCCAAACAGTTCTATTTTTGTTTCATCAGACCAGAGGACATTTCTCCAAAAAGTACGATCTTTGTCCCCATGTCCAGTTGCAAACCGTAGTCTGGCTTTATTATGCCGGCTTTGGAGCAGTGGCTTCTTCCTTGCTGAGCGGCCTTTCAGGTTATGTGGATATAGGACTCGTTTTACTGTGGATATAGATACTTTTGTACCTGTTTCCTCCAGCATCTTTACAAGGTCCTTTGCTGTTGTTCTGGGATTGATATGCACTTTTTGCACCAAAGTACGTTAATCTCTAGGAGACAGAACACGTCTCCTTCCTGAGCGGTATGACGGCTGCGTAGGTCCCATGGTGTTTATACTTGCGTACTATTGGTTGTACAGATGAACGTGGTACCTTTAGGCGTTTGGAAATTGCTCCCAAAGATGAACCAGACTTGTGGAGGTCTACAAGATTTTTTTCTGAGGTCTCGGCTGATTTCTTTTGATTTTCCCATGATGTCAAGCAAAGAGGCACTGAGTTTGAAGGTAGGCCTTGAAATACATCCACAGGTACACCTCCAATTGACTCAAATGATGTCAATTAGCCTACCAGAAGCTTCTAAAGCCAAGACATCATTTTCTGGAATTTTCCAAGCTGTTTAAAGGCACAGTCAACTTAGTGTATGAAACTTCTGACCCACTGGAATTGTGATACAGTGAATTATAAGTGAAATAATCTGTCTGTAATCAATTGTTGGAAAAATTACTTGTGTCATGCACAAAGTTGATGTCCTAACCGACTTGCCAAAACTATAGTTTGTTAACAAGAAATTTGTAGAGTGGTTGAAAACGTGTATGTAAACTTCCGACTTCAACTGTATATATATATATATATATATATATAGTACACTACTTTTGACCAGGATTCAGGCTCTGGTAAACAATTGTACACTAAATAGGGAATTGGGTGCCATTTGGGATGTAGCCCAGGCTTCCTGAAAGGTCACACTTAGCTATTCCGAGGCAATAAAAGCACTTGGCATCTCAGTCCTAATGACCAATGGCTTTCCGATGGAAATGGCTTTCTAATGCTGGCTGTTTTTTGGGGGAGTGGTGTGACTGGATACATCCCGACAGTGCTCCAAGAGGATGTGTTGGAGTGTCAATCCTAATTCCAGTTATAGCATCACAAGTGGTCGAATGGATTTCCAGCGTTTTGTTAAGACTTTTAAAAAAGAGAGGTCTATCTGATTTAATCAGGGTGGATTCTACATTGATTTTACATGAGCCTGCCATCTAAAGATGCGCATGCGTGCATTTGTCAATCTTGCACTAACGCTGTGATAGATGATGGATGTGATAATGCATGCATGTGTGTGTTTGTGCATCCATTTGCGTGTGTGTGTGTATATGTCTGTACATATCCATATGTGAGTGTGCATGAGTGTAGCCATATGTGTGTGTGCATGAGTGTATCCATATGTGTGTGTGCATGAGTGTATCCATATGGGTGTGTGTGTGTGTGTGTAGCTCTGATCTATCTGACGCTCCCTACCCAGCTCTTCTCTTCCTCAGGCCAGTGCTGTGCCATCACTTATCTGTCCTCCCCTCACTCATTTATAGACGCACAGCTTACCTCAGAGACTACAGGAAATAAGCTGTATTTTTCTCTCACATACCATCTTTCTCCATCCATATCTTGTTTTCCCTGCATCATCCTATCTTCTCTTTATACGATGTCTCTTCATACAGTGCCTTGCAAAAGTATTCATCCCCCTTGGCATTTTTCCTATTTCGTTGCATTACAACCTGTAATTTAAATGGATTTTTATTTGGATTTCATGTAATGGACATACACAAAATAGACCAAATTGGTGAAGTGGAATGAAAAAAATAACTTGTTTAAAAAAATTATACAAAATAAATAACGGAAAAGTGGTGCGTGCATATGTATTCACCCCCTTTGCTATGAAGCCTCTAAATAAGATCTGGTGCAACCAATTACCTTCAGAAGTCACATAATTAGTTAAATAAAATCCACCTGTGTGCAATCTAAGTGTCACATGATCTCAGTATATATACACCTGTTCTGAAAGGCCCCAGAGTCTGCAACACCACTAAGCAAGGGGCACCACCAAGCAAGCAGCACCATGAAGACCAAGGAGCTCTCCAAACAGGTCAGGGACAAAGTTGTGGAGAAGTACAGATCAGGGTTGAGTTATAAAACAATATCAGAAACTTTGAACATCCCACGGAGCACCATTAAATCCATTATTAAAAAATGGAAAGAATATGGCACCCCAACAAACCTGCCAAGAGAGGGCCGCCCACCAAAACTCACGGATCAGGCAAGGAGGGCATTAATCAGAGAGGCAACAAAGAGACCAAAGATAACCCTGAAGGAGCTGCAAAGCTCCACAGCGGAGATTGGAGTATCTGTCCATAGGACCACTTTAAGCCGTACACTCCACAGAGCTGGGCTTTACGGAAGAGTAGCCAGAAAAAAGCCATTGCTTAAAGAAAAAAATAAGCAAACACATTTGGTGTTCACCAAAAGGCATGTGGGAGACGCCCCAAACATATGGAAGAAGATACTCTGGTCAGATTTCTCATGGCAATGGGCTGATGTGATTGCACAGTTCACCTAACAGATATGGGAGTTTATCAATGTTTAATTTGTTTTCAAATTCTTTGTGGGTCTGTGGGAAATATGTGTCTCTAATGTAGTCATACATTTGGCAGGACGTTAGGAAGTGTAGCTCAGTTTCCACCTCATTTTGTGGGCAGTGGGCACATAGCCTGTCTTCTCTTGAGAGCCAGGTCTCTCTCTCTCTGTCTCTCTGTCTCTCTGTCTCTCTGTCTCTCTGTCTCTGTGTGTGTGTGCTGTGCTGTTCCTGATATTTTCTTTCACATTGTCCTCTCTAGCATGGTTCCGGGAACTATGGTGGATGCGTAACCAGGCTAGCGCAGTACAGTTTGGCTCAGTAGTGTATCTATTTCAGCCTGGAGAGGGTCTGTGGATAGAGTAGTATCAGTAGGGCTTAGGGCTCTATTCAATCTGTATCACTGAAGCGTTAAAGATTGAGCCGACATATACGGTGAATGCAGTCTTTATCAATCACGCTGTAATGCTGAACTTCCGCGATACTAGAGCCCCTAGTTTGATATGGCCAAAATGGAGACATTGATGGAGTCTTTGACAGAGATTCATGGGAGAATTCATTGATTTACAATGAGATTGAAAGGGGTAAGGTGCGTTGTCACAAACAGTAAATCTTCTTTCTTTCTTTCTTTCTTTCTTTCTTTCTTTCTTTCTTTTCTTTCTTTCTTTCTTTCTTTTATATATATATATATATATATATATATATATATATATATATATATATACACACACACACACAGCTATGTCTTATTATACTTGTGAGGACTTTTTGGGGTCCAACAATTGATTCCCATTCAAAATCCAATTTTCCCTAACCTTAACCCCTAACCGTAGTTACAACCCTTTCCTGCAGTCAAATGATCAAATCGTCCTCTAGTGGCCTCATGGGTGGTATGTTATTAATATTTTTCATGATTTACAATTAATAAACATTTTTTTAAAACCTGTCTGGTGTTTCTATGTCAAACGCTTTTGTTATATTTCAGTCTTCTGTGATGTATATAAAGTGTAATATTTGGATGCAAACTCAAAATGTAATACATTTCAACTCTATATCTGACATGGTACAGGTGTCTTCTTTTTTAAGCCCATAACCATGTTTGTGATGTTTATTAAAGACTACCAAGAAACACTCTGCGTGACCCTGATTTAGCCCACTGCAGTAAAAGCTTAACCCTAACCCTAACCCTAATTCTAACCATAACCCTAAACCTAATCCCTAAACTGGCAACGTGTCCTCACTTCTCTGAATTGTTGTTGGTTTACTCTTCTTGTGAGGACTTCTGGTAGTCACAAGTATAGTAAAACATGTACACACACACACTGTCAAACTGCCAAAATAATTATGGGGACAAAGAATAAAGTCACATGACTTACACTGATGGGAAGAATGCTTTTGATCTGTTGAGCCAAGATTGTGTGATTAACAGAGAATAATTTCTCTCTCTCTCTCTCTCTCTCTCTCTCTCTCTCTCTCTCTCTCTCTCTCTCTCTCTCTCTCTCTCTCTCTCTCTCTCTCTCTCTCTCTCTCTCTCTCTCTCTCTCTCTCTCTCTCTCTCTCTCTCTCTCTCTCTCTCTCTCTCTCTCTCTCTCTCTCTCTCTCTCTCTCTCTCTCTCTCTCCTCAGCCCTGATATTGCTTTTCTACCTGGTCTTCTATGGCTTCCTGGCGGGGATGTTCACGCTCACCATGTGGGTCATGCTGCAGACACTGGACGACAACATTCCTACGTACCGCGACCGAGTGGCCAGTCCAGGTGACTTATTATGCTGCAGCAAAACAGACACTCAACCTAAACAGAACAGTGCTCATATTGAAATTCACCCATTCACTTACTCTTTCTCTCTCTCGCTCTTTCTCTTTCTCTCTCTCGCTCTTTCTCTTTCTCTCTTTCAATCTTCCTTTCAGTCTCTCTCTCTCTTTCTCTCTCTCGCTCTTTCTCTCTCTCTCTCAATCTTCCTTTCTGTCTCTCTCTCTTTCTCTTTCTCTCTCTCGCTCTTTCTCTTTCTCTCTCTCTCTCAATCTTCCTTTCTGTCTCTCTCTCTCTCTCTTCACACACACACATAAAATATGAATATGTCCACTCTCTCTCAAACATGGCATTATCTCTCACGGACCGCATCGCATCTGGACTGCTGTTGACACATAGACAAGGCTCTCTCACTAACGCCAGAGTTGTCTCTGCTAGCGCCTGGCCTGGCCTGCACAGTGTCTCGGACTCTGCTGCCATGTCCCACTGAAGCCCTTACTGGCGTGACAGAGGAACTGGAATAAACAGATCAGTCAAACACATTTTAGAAATGAAAAACTACCGACCGAGTCTCAGAACCCATTAATTAATACTGTGTCAGTGTAAAAAAAAGAGAGAAGTTAGAAATGTGATCCTGTGAATTATGGAGCAGAGTTGTGTGTGTGTGTGTAGGAGTGAGAGAGTCTGTCTCCCAGGCTGTGCAGGCATCCTCCTGCTGGTCCACCAGTACAGCACCCATCTGTTCTGTCCCCACAGCTCCTCTCCATCTCCATGGCCCTGACAGAGAGGCCATCATGAAAACTAACTCCTCTCCTTTAGGCCTACAAGTCCTAATACTGTATATAATAATAATAATATATGCCATTTAGCAGATGCCTTTCTCCAAAGAGACTCACAGTCATGCATTTTTGTAAGGATGGCCCCAGCAGGAATCGAACCCATGATATCGCTGTTGCAATCACCATGCTCTACCAATTGAGCCATAATGCGGATTTATGCCCTCCGCCATTCGCAGCCAACCTTCTCAAATGAGATTCTATCTTTTGACTCATCCTGCTCTTGTAAAACGTGCTGTGTGCCAAGTTTCTAAGGTGGTGTAGCAGAACCTGCAGAGCTGCAGCTAAAATGCAAATCTTCTGACTAGCCTCTTTTTGGGGTTTGGCAAAACATTTGTAGAATGCAGTTATAGTGTAGCAAGCTTCTCTCACTCTTTCACACACACATACACTCCTCTCATGACAATTTATTCCACCCACAGTCTCCTCTCATCCTCTCTTCTCTTCTCTCACTCTATGTCTCCCATTGTCCCCTCTTTTGGAGTCCTTCCATTGTGTCATCTGTCACTCCTGTCTTCTAATGGGGTCCTGGGTGTTGACACCTTGAGGTCACAACTAAGACGTACTCGTCTGAATCAGCCACGAGTCAAATTCCATCACAGCGTCCTGATAATAAAGCCTCCTCGGCCTCGCCGTTTGCAGACGGCCTGGATGAGTCCCAAATGGCACCCTATTCCCTATATAGTGCAATACTTCTGAGCAGGACCCATAGGGCTCTGGTCATAGGTAGTGCACTATATAGGGAATAGGGTGACATTTGAGACGCAGCCCCTGTCTTGACGGTTGGTCACAGCTGACCCTCTTTGCCAGCAGGGTTTCATCTGGCGAGTGTTAATAACATTTGCTGTTTTGAAAACTTTTCTTAGCTAATTAAACAAATGTTTTTTGACAACTCTCTCCGCAACCCATTCGAACAATGTCAGGCAGCATAAGCAATACATGTGGCTGGTTGTAAGTATAAGATTTGTATAACAATAATATTATATCTGTCATATGATATATGAATTGCATTAGTGTGACTGACTGGATTTGAATTGGGGTCATTTGCGTGACACCAGAATTGAGTTAGCCTGCTGAGCTAAAGCCCAGGCATTCACTCGGGGAGCTAACACAAATCTTCAGATCTCAGGCAAGGATACTCGTCACGTGAGCGAGGTTCACTGGACCATCTCCATAACATTAGTAGGTGCAGACAGTTGACGTGACATGTTTCCCCCTACCTGTCCTCAGGTTTGGTGATCAGGCCCCGGTCCTTGGACATCGTCTTCAACCACACCGACCCTAAGCAGTACGACCAGTATGTCCAGCATCTGGAGAACTTCCTTCAGCGTGAGTGATAGAACCCCTCTATCAGTCCCATTCAGTTTTTTCTAAAGAATGTGTACATATCACTCCTATGAACAAATACAGTATTAGTGTTGGGTCACCATGGTAAAGGAAATTTGAGTTTAAGTTGTTGCAGTTGATTACACTTTGTATACATGACTAAGGTGTGTATTCTACCTGACTTCAAAGGACACTGTAATCCTTGGCAGTGGCACTGGAATATGTGTATGCCACAGGAGTTTGGTGGCACCTCAATTGGGGAGGATGGGCTCGTGGTAATGGCTGGAGCGGAATACACATGGCTTGATGCCATTCCATTCGCGCCATTACAACCATTATTATGAGCCGTCCTACCCTCAGCAGCCTCCACTGGCGTATGCATACTAACTACGTTTTACATGCAACACAAAACTGGCTAACTGATTATGTAATATGTATCCCAAAGAAACATACAAGTAATGAATACGTTACTGTGACATAATTATTAGCTACAATTTTGACATGTAATATTTAGGTGAATACTGTCTGTACCAGGTAAATAGCAGGCTGTCAAATACAGTGGAACTTGTGTCTGTGCCCTATGTTGGGTCCCCTCAGAATACAACGACACTGTGCAGGAGAAGAACGAACTGTGTATGGTGGGAGAGTACTATGAGCAGGATGATCAGGAGGAGAAGAAGGTGTGTCAGTTCAAGCGCAGTCTGCTCCGGCAGTGCTCCGGCCTGTCTGACACCACCTTTGGCTACGCCGAGGGGAAACCCTGCGTCCTCGTCAAGATGAACAGGGTGAGTGCCCCGACTGGGGATTGTCGGTTCTGCTCTTCTGAAAATGCTAGCCCACTGAGCTAAATCCTATAGACTGGCGCTTAAGCCTTAAAGCCATTAGCTCTGGGAGCTAACACAAGTCTTCAGGTCTCAGGCAAGGTTACTCATCACACAAGCATGGTTCACTGAACTACCTCCCCTACACGAGTACCTCCCTATCTTAGATCCATTGCCTTTGGACAGCTTTTCAGTGTATCCTCTCTCTGTCTTCATGCAGAAGTAGAGTTTGTTCAAATTCATATTGAAAAGTGCATATTCTCTGTCCTTTCCACTGCACTTGTTTCTTAATCACTATTTGGAATATCCTCTGTGTCGACAGGGCATTCTGTGTCAGCATCTCAGGTCAGACTGAATTGATTGGCCTCTATGTAGCCTGACTGGTATTCAGTTAAATCCAACTTAATGAATCCAATCAGGGGCCATTAAGAAGATTCTTAGGCATCTCTGAGGCAGCTATGTTTATGACAGTCAAAGTCCCTGGCCCTTCAGTAAGCAGGCAGCACACATGTGCCCGATCTACTGACTGGTCCCTATACGACCAGCTCAAATCAAATTACCTCATTGTGTCACTAACTGAGCTACTTCTTAACATCTTTTAACTCAAATCAGTGCTTCCATTTTTGAGACCATTCTGAAATCTGGTGTGTCTTGATCATTTTTCATGTAAACAAGCTTGTGGAATGGGTATGAAACTCACAAAAGGTTGCTATAATAGTCTTCATGATATTCTTCTCACTCCTACAGATCATTGGACTGAAACCGCGCGGGGACCCCTACATTAACTGCACAGCTAAGGTAAAGCAAACAAACTGTTTTTCTTTTGGGTGTCACAATTAATTGTGTGTGTGTATGTGTGTGTGTGTGTGTGTGTGTGTGTGTGTGTGTGTGTGTGTGTGTGTGTGTGTGTGTGTGTGTGTGTGTGTGTGTGTGTGTGTGTGTGTGTGTGTGTGTGTGTGTGTGTGTGTGTGTGTGTGTGTGTGTGTGTGTGTGTGTGTTCCAGGTTGTGTCTTTGTGTGCTAGGACTTTTAGAGACAGGTTTTGTTCCCTATTGTGTCTATGTTTTTTTGTATTTGTGTGTGTGTGTGTGTGCGTTATGTAGGTATGCACATGTATGTTTCAGTCTGTGTTTTCACAAACGTGTCTGTATTTGATTTCTCTCCACGCTGCCTGTAGGGCCAGCAGTTCACTGGTGGGTAAGAAATTGGGTCCTAGCCCCCCTATGTTTTCCCATGGTCCTAGCCCAAGCCTTTCTCCATTACCTTTCGGCGCTGCTTCTGTCCACCTCTGTGATGTGGCGCTTTGTCCTCTACTGCTTTAAACAGCATTCATGGCGTTCATGTTGTAGAGCTTTCTAATCTAACCCCTATACAGTACCTAATCACCTCAGAGACAATATAGACTGAGGAATAGTCAATATTAAAGTGTTGATCTTTTTAGTAATTATTGTCACTGACTGTATATAACGGCAGTTGGTGTATGTATCTGTATGGTAAGGTATTGGAACCTGAAAAGGTTCCTTCCATTGATTTTAGAACCCTGCTCCGCTGCGCCATGACTCCCACTAACGGTGTTTCCATGGTTTTCCTCTGGCTCTGACATTCTAACAACATCTCTCTCTCTCAGCGCACGTGCTCTGGGTTTCATCCCTCCCTCACCGAGACTGTCAACTCTGACCTTTGTGACCTGTTTGCAAATGTTTGAAGGTGTACAGAGAAACACTGATGCTGTACTCTTCAGCAAAAGATCGAGACTGGCTCTTTTAAATCTTTCACTGGTGTTTTAACTCCCCCCCCCCTCTTTCTCTCTAAATTCATTTGAATTTCTCCTCTCCACCGTAGACCATTCTGATACCCATAGAGAACCATCTGGTGGCAGATTGTGTGTGTGCGCGTGTTTGTACGGGTATGTGTGAGTGGATGGGAACTATATTTTGTGTGCGTGCGCATGCGTGGTAACTATGTTGTGTACTGTGAGAGTGTGTGGTGGTTTACACTATGTCGTGTGGTCCGTGCCATGTGCACATGTGTAAAGCTACAGTGTGTGTGTGTCTGTTTGTACACCAGGGTTGTTGTATGTCGTTGTGTACAGAGTTAGTCAGATAGATTGTTGTTCTGAGAGTCGGTGGAGGCAGCTTCGTACATTCCCAGTGCATTCATATGTATAGTTCTGTGATCTCACACCTCCTCCTGTTCCTCCTCCTCCTCATCCCCTCCTTCCTCTACTTCCTCCTCTTCCTCCTCCTCCTCTTCCTCCCACAGAGAGAAAGCCACCTGCAGATGCAGTACTTCCCATCCGAGGGGCGGTTCGATAAGATGTACTTCCCTTATTACGGGAAAAATTTGCATGTATGTACATTATGCTACATATTTATATTGAGAAGGAAACTGTTCATGAGATTGAATGCAGAATAATTTAATTGCAATTACAAGTAGTAAATGTTACCATTGTCAAGGCAGTCTGGGGAGAAGAGAATGCTGGGAAATGTATGGGGGTGGCCTATTTTCACCAGAGACAAAATGAATGCCAGTGTATTTTAATGACATCCACTGTTATGTGAATTAACAGTGACTCCCTCCATCTCTCCCTGTATGTTTGCCAGTCAACCTACGTTCAGCCCCTGGTCGCGGTCAAGCTTCTGATTGCCAAGGAGGACTACAACAACGAGCTGACAGTGGAGTGTAAGATCGAGGGCTCCGACCTGCGGAACAGTGACGACCGTGACAAGTTCCTGGGGCGCGTCACGTTCCGGGTCAAAGTGGTCGAGTAGTGGTTCAGGAAAACCACCAGAGCTGCACAATGCCGTCTTTGAGTGTAATCAATGCCCTCACCCACCTCCACTGAACCGTCCTCCTTCATCCACTTCCCCCCTCCATCCGGCCAGGACCAGGCCCTGCCCCCTTGGCTACTGGAGGAGTGGATCAGGGGAAGCTACGGTAGCAGGGTTGTGTGCTCCTTATGAGTTTTTTAAATCCCCATCCCATATCATATGTTAGTGATTCCTCCACCTCCCTGCCTGCCCCCCTCTTGGCCCTTCACCACACCATGGAAAGGAAAATACAATAAACTAACAACATGAACCCCCCCCATGAAACACACACACACAAATACACACACACCTCTCACCCCCACCTCCATTAAAGGCAGTGGTGATGTAGCGACATCGTGCCATAGTAGGGACCTGTATATAGCTGTATTTGGAGCATTGAGTTGATGTGGTATTTCTCCCGTAGTGCTGTGCAGTCTGCTGTGTGTGACGTGTTGTTACTGTATGTACATACTTGATGGCTATAAACACTGTTTATGTCTTTAGCTCACTATGTCTGAACGCTGTAAGAAATCAAACTAAGAAATAGATGAATAGCTGTAATTTAAGATGATTGATTAAGAGAATACGTTAAGGATGAAAAATGCCCAAAAATATATCTGCTTATAATTCAACCTACCTGTCCAACATGTAAGGGAAGAGATTTTTACACCCCTATGGGAACTGTGCTTTGTACAGATGCCTTGAGGTCTGTATGAGAACAAATTTTAAATAAAGATGATTTTAAAGAAATATCTCAGTTTGTGTCTGTTTACTTTTAGTTCCATAGCTGGGATTCAACTAAAGGACAAGTGCACTGCACTGTTGACAATGCGCCATTTAATGGCAAATTCCCTGACATTCGCAGAGATCACACACGGTAAACACTGCGGATGTCAGCCCTTGTCAACAATGCAACTTTATGTCCGAGCCCAGGATTTGAATGTGGAGTTGAATGCTCTGTATTATTGTGTTGACATGCTGCCCTCACATGGTGGTCCTGTGGAAACAACCCTGATGAAGGTCTATTGATGGAAATGTTGATCCATTAAAACACCTTGGAGAATGGGCCTGCAAGAATACCAGGGTGCTGGAGGTTTTTCCCCAATGTTTTTTCTCTCTCCATGTACCTGGAATAGTATATTTTATATATATATACTGTGTACAGGTGTTTCTTTATTTGTACAATTTTTTACATTGTAGAATAATAGTGAAGACATCAAAACTATGAAAACACATATGGAATCATGTTCCTTTCCTGAGGATGGCTCACACCTGACAGTTCTGGATGACTTTAACCTCCCTACGTCTACCTTTGACTCATTTCTCTCTGCCTCCTTCTTTCCACTCCTCTCCTCTTTTGACCTCACCCTCTCACCGTCCCCCCCTACTCACAAGGCAGGCAATACGCTTGACCTCATCTTTACTAGATGCTGTTCTTCTACTAATCTCACTGCAACTCCCCTCCATGTCTCCGACCACTACTTTGTATCCTTTTCTCTCTCGCTCTCCTCCAACACCCAACCTGCCCGTTTGACCCACTCTGCCCCTACTCAGATGGTAATGCGCCGTCGCAACCTTCGCTCTCTCTCTCCCGCTACTCTCTCCTCTTCCATCCTATCATCTCTTCCCTCTGCTCAATCCTTCTCCCTCTAATCTCCTGATTCTGCCTCCTCAACCCTCCTCTCCTCCCTTTCTGCATCCTTTGACTCTCTATGTCCCCTATCCTCCCGGCCGGCTCGGTCCTCCCCTCCTGCTCCGTGGCTTGACGACTCATTGCGAGCTCACAGAACAAGGCTCCGGGCAGCCGAGCGGAAATGGAGGAAAAGACTCCCTGCGGACCTGGCATCTTTTCACTCCCTCCTCTCTACATTTTCTTCCTCTGTTTCTGCTGCTAAAGCCACTTTCTACCACTCTAAATTCCAAGCATCTGCCTCTAACCCTAGGAAGCTCTTGCCACCTTCTCCTCCCTGCTGAATCCTCCAACCCCCCCCCCCCCCTCCCTCTCTGTGGACGACTTCGTCAACCATTTTGAAAAGAAGGTTGACGACATCCGATCCTCGTTTGTTAAGTCAAATGACACTGCTGGTCCTGCTCTACCCTATGCTTTGACTTCTTTCTCCCCTCTCTCTCCAGATGAAATCTTGCGACTTGTGACGGCCGGCTGCCCAAACAACCTGCCCGTTTGACCCTATCCCCTCCTCTCTTCTCCAGACCATCTCCGGTGACCTTCTCCCTTACCTCACCTCGCTCATCAACTCATCCTGACCGCCTGGCTATGTCCCTTCCGTCTTCAAGAGAGCGAGAGTTGCACCCCTTCTCAAAAAACCTACACTCGATCCCTCTGATGTCAACAACTACAGACCAGTATCCCTTCTTCCTTTTCTCTCCAAAACTCTTGAGCGTGCCGTCTTTAGCCAACTCTCTTGCTATCGCTCTCAGAATTACCTTCTTGATCCAAACCAGTTAGGTTTCAAGACTGGTCATTCAACTGAGACTGCTCTTCTCTGTGTCACGGAGGCTCTCCGCACTGCTAAAGCTAACTCTCTCTCCTCTGCTCTTGTCCTTCTAGACCTGTCTGCTGCCTTGATACTGTGAACCATCAGATCCTCCTCTCCACCCTCTCCGAGTTGGGCATCTCCGGCGCGGCTCACTCTTGGATTGCATCCTACCTGACAGGTCGCTCCTACCAAGTGGCGTGGCGAGAATCTGTCTCCGCACCACGTGCTCTCACCACTGGTGTCCCCCAGGGCTCAGTTCTAGGCACTCTCCTATTCTCGCTATACACCAAGTCACTTGGCTCTGTCATATCCTCACATGGCCTCTCCTATCATTGCTACGCAGATGACACACAACTAATCTTCTCCTTTCCCCCTTGTGATAACCAGGTGGCGAATCGCATCTCTGCAAGTCTGGCAGACATATCAGTGTGGATGACGGATCACCACCTTAAGCTGAACCTCGGCAAGACGGAGCTGCTCTTCCTCCCGGGGAAGGACTGCCCGTTCCATGATCTCGCCATCACGGTTGACAACTCCGTTGTGTCCTCCTCCCAGATTGCAAAGAGCCTTGGCGTGACCCTGGACAACACCCTGTCGTTCTCCGCTAACATCAAGGCGGTGACCCGATCCTGTAGGTTCATGCTCTACAACATTCGGAGAGTACGACCCTGCCTTACACAGGAAGCGGCACAGGTCCTAATCCAGGCACTTGTCATCTCCCGTCTGGATTACTGCAACTCGCTGTTGGCTGGGCTCCCTGCCAGTGCCATTAAATCCCTACAACTCATCCAGAATGCCGCAGCCCATCTGGTGTTCAACCTTCCCAAGTTCTCTCACGTCACCCCGCTCCTCCGCACACTCCACTGGCTTCCAGTTGAAGCTCGCATCTGCTACAAGACCATGGTGCTTGCCTACGGAGCTGTGAGGGGAACGGCTCCTCCGTACCTTCAGGCTCTCATCAGGCTACACCAAAACGAGGGCATTGCATTCATCCACCTCTGGCCTGCTGGCCCCCCTACCTCTGCGGAAGCATAGTTCTCGATCAGCCCAGTCAAAACTGTTCGCTGCTCTGGAACCCCAATGGTGGAACAAGCTCCCTCACGACGCCAGGACAGCGGAGTCACTCACCACCTTCCGGAGACACTTGAAACCCCACCTCTTTAAGGAATACCTGGGATAGGATAAAGTAATCCTTCTACCCCCCCTTACCCCACCCCAAAGAAAAAAATGAAAAAAAAAACATTGTAAAGTGGTTTTCCCACTGGCTATAAGGTGAATGCACCAATTTGTAAGTCGCTCTGGATAAGAGCGTCTGCTAAATGACGTAAATGTAAATGTAATGTAGTAACCAAAGAAGTGTTGAACAAAATCAAAATATATTTTATATTCGAGATTCTTCAAATAGCCACCCTTTGCCTAGATGACAGCTTTGCACACTTGCCATTCTCTCAAAAGGCCACTCTAAAATGTGCAGTTTTGTCACACAACACAATACCACAGATGTCTCAAGTTTTGAGGGAGCACGCAATTGGCATGCTGACTACAGGAATGTCCACCAGAGCTGTTGCCAGAGAATTTAAATGTTAATTTCTCTACCATAAGCCGCCTCCAACGTCGTTTTAGAGAATTTGGCAGAACGTCCAACCTGCCTCACAACCGCAGACCACTTGTAACCACGCCAGCACAGGACCTTCACATCTGGCTTCTTCACTTGTGGGATTGTCTGAGACAGCCACCCGGACAGCTGATGAAACTGTGGGTTTGCACAACCAAATAATTTCTGCACAAACTGTCAGAAACCGTCTCATCTGTGTAAACAGAGTGCCCCATGGTGGCAATGGGGTTATGGTATGGGCAGGCATAAGCTACGGACAACGAATACAATTGCATTTTATCGATTGCAATTTGAATGCACAGAGATACCGTGACGAGATCCTGAGGCCCAATGTCGTGGCATTCATCCGCTGCCATCACCTCATGTTTCAGCATGATAATGCACGGCCCCATGTCGCAAGGACCTGTACACAATTCCTGGAAGCTGCATGGCCTGCATACTCACCAGACATTTCACCCATTGAGCATGTTTGGGATGCTCTGGATCGACGTGTACGACAGCGTGTTCCAGTTATCGCCAATATCCAGAAACTTCGCACAGCCATTCAAGAAAAGTGGGACAACATTCCACAGCCCACAATCAACAGCCTGATCAACTCTATGTGAAGGAGATGTGCCGCGCTGCATGAGGCAAATGATGATCACACCAGATACTGACTGGTTTTCTGATCCATGCCCCTACTTTTTATCAGTGACCAACAGATGCATATCTGTATTCCCAGTCATGCGAAATCCATAGATTAGGTCCTAATGAATTTATTTCAATTGACTGATTTACTTGCTGTATACGAACTGTAACTCAGTAAAATCTTTGAAATTGTTTATATTTTTGTTCAGTGTAAGATTTAC